TTGGATTACAGGTGTGCACCACTATGCCCAGTGTGTCAATTTAAAAAGAAATAAAATTAAAACAATATACTAAGCAGTTATGTGTGGAATTAATTTTAAAAACAACTGTCCTGATATATACAAATGAATACATGTAGGAAATTTTTCTTTTTTGCTGTTCCTTTTTTTTTTTTTTTTCTGGTAGCAGGGATTGAACTCAGAGGCACTCAACTACTAAGCCACATCTCCAGCCCTGTTTTGTATTTTATTTACAGACAGAGTCTCTCTGAGTTACTTAGAACCTCACTTTCGTTGAGGCTGGCTTTGAACTCGAAATCCTCCTGCCTCAGCCTCCCAAGCTGCTGGGATTACACGTATTCGCCATCACTCCCGACTTATTGTTCCATATTTTTATTGGTGCATTATAGTTATACATAATGATGAGATTTGTTGTTACATATTGATGTATGCACAAGATATAACAATATAATTTGATAAATATCATTACCCAGTTCTTTCCCTTTCCTATTCCTTTGCTCTACTGGTCTCCCTTCAATTTTCATGAGATTCCCCCCACCAACTTTTTTCCTTTATCCTCTCTAGAGTCTTCACATGATCCTTGACATTATGAGTTTGGCTTATTTCACTTAATAAAATACTCCATCCACTTTTCTGCAAATGACGTATTTCACTTTTCTTTATGATTGGATAAAACTCCATTGTAAACATATACCACATATTCTTTATCTGTTCACCCACTGATAAACAGGTAGGCTGGTTCCATAGCTTAGCTATTGTGAATTGTGCTGCTATAAACATGGTTATGCACGTACTACTGTAGTATGCTAACTTTAATTCTTTAGAATAACTACCAAGGAGTGGTATAGCTGAGTAATATGTTGGTTTCCTGCAAGTCTTCTGAAGAAGCTCCATACTGATTTGCAAAGTGGTTGTACTAAATTACAATCCCACCAACACTTGTAAAAGTGTCCCTTTTCCCCAACTTCCTCTTCAGCAATTCTTATCATTTGTATTCTTGATGGCTATCACTGTAACTGAAAGAGATAAAATTTCCATATAGTTTTGATTTGCATTTCCCTAACTACTAAAGTCGTTGAACCTTTTTCAAATATTTGTTAGCCATCTGTATTTCTTTTGAGAATGTCTGTTAAGTTACTTTGCCCATTTACAGAATTACCTGTTTTAGGGGTCCGAGTTCTTTCTATATTCTCGGTATTAATATCCTGTCAGAAGAGAAACTAGCAAAATTTTTCTCCATTCTGTAGGCTTTCTCTTCACATTTTTAACTGTTTTTTCTGCTGTGTAGAAGCTTTTCAGTTTGATGCCATCCCATTTATTAATTCTCAATATTATTTCCTATAGGCTTCAGGAGGCCTATTGAGGAAGTCATTGCCTGGGCCTATATGTTGGAGTGTTGACCCTATGCTTTCTTCTGAGTTGCAAAGTTGCTGGTCTAATTCCTAAGTCTTTGATCCTTTCGAGTTGGCTATTGTGCAAAGTGAGAAACAGGAATCTAGCCTTACTTTTCTATATATGGAGAGCCAGTATTCCCAGCAACATGAAAACATTAAAATGGCTACCTGTTCTCCAACATACATTTGTGGTGCCTTTGTCAAGGATCAGTATCTATATGGATTTGTCTCTATCTCTTCTATTCTGTTCCACTGGTCTATGTACCCATTTTTATGCCAGTACCATGCAGTTTTTGTTACTATAGCTCTGAAGTATAATTTGAACTCAGGTATTGTGATGTTCGTTTTGTTGTTGTTGTTGTTGTTTTTACTTAGGATTGATTTGGCTATTTCGGGCTCTTTATACTTCCAAAAGAATTTAAGAATTGATTTTCCTAATTCTGTCAAGAATCTCATTAGTATTTTGATGAGAAGTACATTGAATCTGTACATCACTTTTGATAATATGATCATTTTAACAATATCAATTTTCTGTATCCATGAACGTGGGAGATATTTCTATCTTCTAGTAACTTGAATTTCTTTATTCGGGGCTCAATAATTTACATTGAAGACGTCTTTCATCTCCTTGTTTAGGTTTATTCCTAGGTACCTTTTTATTTTTTTAAGGCTTTTGTGAATGGGACTGTTTTCCTGATTTCTTCTTCAGCAAATTAATTATTGATGTAGGAAAGTTATTGATTTTGTATGCTTTATACTTAGGAAAATTTCCTAATGACAGACACATACTAATTCACAATAGGTTCCTCTCAAGGAACCTAAGTGTAACATGAGATAACAGGCTCTGAAAAAATATTGGTATTCTGAAAAAAACATCCAAAAAGTAGTTTAGGTGATGATGAGACTATTGGAAAAATCTGAATAAAACTATTTTATGAATATAAAAGTAGGCTAGGGCTGGGGTTGTGACTCAGTGGTAGAGAGCTTGCCTCACCTGTGTGAGGCACTATGTTTGATTCTCAGCATCACATATAAATAACTAAATAAAATGAAGGTCCATCATCAACTAAAAAAAAATTTTCTGAAAAAGTAAGCTAAAGTAGCATTTCTAAACTATTGTTTTCTACTTTAAATGTATGTGTAAATGTTTAACCAAGTTACCAAAAAGATATATAATTAGGCCCTCAACTATTCCACCTATATTTATCAAGCTTTCTTTATTTAAGTTTATCAAACTTGGGGCTTCTCATTGGGAAAAGAAATGCTTTACATCCAAGTTTGCATAGTTTAGGTATAATATGCCATTTAATCATAAAACTCTAATATTTTGAAATAATACTTATTTAAAGTTAAATTATTCAACACCTAATACTTATTATACATCTCACTATAGGCTTATTAAATATAAAGTTGCTTTTTTGTAACATGCAAAAGGAAGTGCTCAACATAATGATGTGATATGTCATCTAGAATGGGGTTTGAAGGTTTCCTAGTGGCTCATTCTCGGCAAATAAAACAATAAAAGTACTAAGTACTAGAGTGAATTACAAAGTATTGGAGAAAAAAAATGAAATCCAGGACCAGGGTTGTGGCTCAGTGGTAGAGCGCTTGCCTGGCGTGTGTGAGGCCCTGGGTTCAATTCACAGCACTACATATAAATAAATAAAATAAAGTCCATTGACAAATAATTTTAATTTTTAAAAATTAAATCCAGGAGTCAATACCAAAAACAAATAGATAACTAAGTGGAAGAGAAGAGAAGGCTCTAATTTACAGCAGAGTGCCATGATCTGATAATAATATAGGGATGGTAATACAGGAATTGAAAAATTATCATTTTGTAATCACAATCATAAAGACTAAATCAGACAAGAATCATGAATGATTGCTAGATCAAGGAGAAAATTTTGATAAGGAGCAGAATGTTTTTATAGTCTTAAAATTATTCTCTCTAATACTAGTTTAATTTTTTTAAATGCTTCTGAAAGTTTGAAATTGCTTCCAAATAAAAAATTTAAAAACAGCTATTATCTAACACTAGCCAATTTTTTTAATGAAAGGTTATTATATGTAATAAAACAATATTCTTTAGGACTTTAATATTTAGCAAAATTTTTTCTCTTCAGCTCATTTTTCATCAATTTTAAGACTATATAATTAAGACACTTTTTTATACCACTAAGAATGACAGAGAAAGGTGACAATTATAAGATGTTATCAACTATAAAGCACATCACAATTTCAGGGATGTTAAATATGAAAACATATGTCTTACAAATGATGAAATATGATTTTTATACATGGTCAAATTTGCAAACAACTTTTTTAAACATGCATACATCACCATACCATAGTGATTTTATGCTAAATTGAACTTTTTCTGTTACCTGAAAATAGGCAACAGGATCCAAAGATTGGAACAAAATAGAACTAAGTATTCTACTTCCTACAGAAAACTAAAAATGGTTGGGGACCACACATCTTCTCCTAGCTTTCATAAGGACAAAGGGGCTGTGATGTCATCAATTGTTATCTCGGTTGCCTCCACCATAATTCCAGTCCAAGAAATGTAGAAGGAAGACACAGGGAGTAGTCACAGTATACAGCAATCTTGATGAAGAGGTTTTTTTCTCTTGCTTATCACCAATTTCTCCCATTCCTTGAAGCCAAGTGAATAAAAATGTGCATTTCCAATTTTTTTGCCACTACAAGCAATGCTGTTTATTAATAAACGTCTTTAAAAATATCTTTATATAGCATTACTCTTATCTCCAATAGAATAATTTCCCTAAGACCAATGTATCCAATTATAGGACTTTTTAAAAAATATTTTTACATGCTGCCACATTGTTTTTGCAAAATGGGTGTACACACACACTTGACACTTCCATTAACAACATGAGAATATTCTTTTTCCTGTATCTGTACCATCACTACATATTTTTCCAATCTGATATCTTGTGCTTACTTTCATTTACATCTCCATATTTGTGAATTAAGACATCTTTAAATATGCTAGGCATCTCAACAGCTTTTCCATGATTTATTTATTCATACTCTAGTATATTTTTCTCCTTTATTTTCTTCCAATTGTTTAGAAATGTGATATCTACAATACGAATATTCTTTCAGAATTATCATGTTATTGACTTTGTTTACAGTATTGTTTGTCCTACAAGTTTTGTTTTGTGAATAGCTTTCCTATGAAAGATAAACAATTTGTGTCTATGCATTTATATATTTTAAAAATATATATCTATATTTAAGCCTACTCAAATGGAAAAATAATTCAAAAGTTAAGGTATTTGTGCTGTATATGCAAATAAGAGAAAATAAAAGGGTTGAAAGAATTATTGAAAAACTAAGGTAATTGCATGTATATTTTCCCCATCAAATGAGATTTTCAGTGAAGTTAGTTATATGTAACTTGAAGTGGAGACAGCATTATTATTCTCATCTTCATTTTTATTTGGAGAAAGTATAATGAAAAGCCACACTGAGCAACAGAGTTGATTCAATAGCTTGTCTTTTGAAAGTAGTATCAATGTCAACACAAGTTTTGATAGCATTTAGGAGCAAGATACTTACCTTTCAATAGCTAATTCTTTGTTAGAAAGTTGCTGCACTGTAATTACAACCTTCTTCTCTATTCCTTGCTTTAATTTGAAATAAAATTTATCTCTATCCTTTGGCACAGGGCTGAAATATTCAAAAAGAACAAAAATTACCAATATAATAATATAATCAAATAAGATAACCTATTCCAAGGTTTGAACAAGACAATCAAGTATTTAAGCAATGACTCTTAAGATGTGTTATACTCTTGGCCTGAGTTTGTGGCTCAGTGGTAGAGCATGCAATGCGCCTAGCACATGTGAGGCACTAGGTTTGGTCCTCAGCACCACATATAAATAAATGAATAAAATAAAATAAAATAAATGTGCTGGGCTGGGGATATAGCTCAGTTGGTAGAGCACTTGCCTTCATGCACAAGGCCTTGGATTCAATCCCCAGCACCACAAATAAATAAATAAATACAATGTGCTAAACTCTCACCTTGCCACAGATAACAAACTATAAATTTTATGGTCAGAAACAGAAATTTCCATTAATTTTTAAACTGGACTTAAAAGAGCCTTACATTTCATCTCCTAACCAAGTTTAAAACCAAGATGTAACATGATACAATTGCAGGGCTGAGGTTGTGGCTCAGTGGTAGAGCTCTCGCTTGGCAGGTGTGAAGCACTGGGTTCAATCCTCAGCACCATTTTTAAATAAATAAATAAAATAAAGGTATTGTGTCCATCTACAACTAAAAAAAATTAAAGCTATAATTGCAAGTTTTAGTTATTGTTTAATAAATTTTAAAATATAGTTTATTCGCTATTTTTAAGACAGTCACATTTCTGGTTTAGCTGGCTGGTTAGTCATGGGTGCCTATTATATAGTGAAACAGAAGGCAAAAACATTGAGAACTTTAATTTTAAGACAGCATTCAAGATGTTATGACATATTCAAAAACATACAAAGAAAAGATTGACCAAGACAGATAGCGGTAAGTTAATCAAATTCAAGCCTAAACCAAACGATTCTTTTGGGGGGAAGCCAATACTGAGGATTGAACCCAGAGCACCTTAACCAGTGAGTTACATCCTCAGTCCTTTCTATTTTTTATTTTGAATCAGGGTCTCACTAAGTTGCCAGGTTGGCCTGGGACTTGCAATCCTCCTGCTTAAACATCCCAAGTAGCTGGGATTACAGGTATGTGTCCCCATATCTAGCTAAACTCATTATTCATATAATGAATTAATTCATTAAAACAATAAATGTTGAAAATAGAAGTTCTCAACTGAAAAGGAAAACTATCAGGAACAACTTATTTGATCTGAAATTCTATTTCTACATCTAAATTATCTTCCTAGTAATTACTGTTAGAATTAAAAGCACAGTTAAGGCATATAGGTGGTTATTAAATAGTATAAATATTTCTTATTAATTGCCTGTTTTTAAACTGGAGAAAAACATTTTAAATGTCCAATAGAAAAAAAAATGGACAATTAAATGATAGCTGAACTATATAATATACTATTAGTTACCATTAAAAATTATTTTAAGACATTTTAATGAGAAATTCTTAAAATGTAAAGAAACTACTTGTATATATACAATCATTTTAAAATTCCCTTAGAAATAAACAAAGGGGATAAACTAAATATTGGAAGTAATTACCTATGGCTGGCAAGATTAAAGTTTCTCCTTCTATTTTTATTATTTTACTAAATTTACTATAATAAACTTTAGTACTTTTAAATTATTAAGAAAATCATTTAGGGCTGGGGATGTGGCTCAAGCGGTAGCGCGCTCGCCTGGCGTGCGTGCGGCCCGGGTTCGATCCTCAGGACCACATACAAACAAAGATGTTGTGTCCGCCGAAAACTAAAAAAAAAAATAAATATTTAAAAAAAAAAAAAAAAAAAGAAAATCATTTAAATATCTGAAAAGCATCAGAACAATGAAACATATTCACCAAATATTCCTTTACCAGTTTAACACTTTATGCCAACATTGTCTAGCTTGGGGAAATTTTAGATTAGCCAATATTATATTTCAGGGATAATGATATATTTTTTTCCTTCATAAATAACCTCACCTAAAGTTTCCTTTTCCATCATCTTCTTTTACCTCCAAGGAGACACCAAAGGTAAACACATCACTGTCGGGGGTAGGAATAATCGAGTCTTTAACATCAGACACTTGTCTGGAAGAACGTTTGAATGCTGTACAGAAACTATATAAAATTCTGCTTACCTAAAAAAATAAAAATGGAAATACCATTAGGCATGAGTTTTAACTGCATTCTGATACCCTTCTCTGATTTTTGAGTCTATTACTTTCCATGATCACAATTTTCTTAAGTAGATAAAAGATATATAATCTAAGAATCCATTAGTCATTTAGATATTGCATAAATATTTTTCATCACTTATGCATTAAAGAGGGGTGAGTCAAAACCATATGTAGTAAATGTAGATAGATCATCCTAACTCTAAATAAATCATATCCTGAAGACTATCATCAGTTTGAAGTCTAAGAGGGAAAATATTGCTAACAATATCCCTCGAAAGGCAAATTAATTTCACAGAATATTTTAACTTTATGAAAGTAATAAAAGAACATCATTTCAAGTATGATGTATGTTTTCAAACTTACAACAGATAAAATTCCAATGTAAACACTAGAGATGAGAACTAACATTTAGGAGTTGCAACAAGGATCTGGGAAACCTGAGAATTAAGAAAGACAAGACAATGAGGTGCACTCAGGAGAAAAAGTAAGTTGATCTTTAACAGTGATTCAGAATCCGCCCCAGTACAAAAAAGCATGATACACCTGTCCAGGAGAGAGGGAAAAAAATACCATCAGTACCAAAGGAGATCATTTAATTATTATAAAAAACTTTCTTTGAAGAAGTTCTCTGATAATACCTAATGAAAAGGCAAGATTTCCTTCCAAGAAATTGCTGAGATAGCATGTACATCATTTGTTAGGAAAAAATTATTCTACAGAGTGAAGAATATTTTATTATTGTGAAAAATTTCTCTCCAGTATGGACAGCAGGGTATCTTTGCTATCTGATACACAAATAGGTTATCACTGTTAGAAAACTTAGATGTTATTTACTGCTATTTATCAATAATGATTTTATATATAGATAGATAGATATAGATATATAGCTTTTTAGTTTACATACTCCATTAATACACACTACAATATCTGATTCTCCAAAGTAGGTTTATAAAGCAGGCCTGACAGAATTTGCAATACTTTTTGCAAATGATTAAAATGGGGTTCAAAAACTTTCCAAAAATCATGCAGCTATTAAATGATTGAGTTGTCTAGAATTCTAAGTTGAGGGCTTCTTAAGGAGACTGCTTCCTAATATTATTTAGATTAGCTCCCTGATTATCAATGACTTTCTCTTGTAGAATAGTAAAATAGGGAATTAAATTCAATAAGTTTATATGTATATGTGCCTCACTAGAGTAGAGAAATATGCCCAAGTGTATTCATATTGAGGAATGGCCCCCTCACTAAGAAAGAATTCTTTAAGAAACAATCAAAAAAGACATGTTTCAAATATTCTTGTTTTGTTTGTTTCAACTCTGGTATTTAAACTTGGTAATAAAAATAAACTAATTTAGGTTCATCAAGGAAGCCATATCAATTTACAGACATCTCTAGGCTTTAAAATACACTGAAGTATTTTGACTGGATCTTAAGGTGATGCTAGGCTCTACATCTTCCAAATGTATGCTCACAAACAAGGTTTCAGCTCAAGTCTTCAATTTCTCTTTTCACTTCTCAGCCTCAGAGGACTAGAATCTGAGCCACAGAATAAAAGCAAATCCCACTTTCAGAAATAAGCATTCATGAGAACATCACTTGAAGAGATTCCAGTATTTTTACTCAATGTTGTCATAGTATAAAAATACTAAAGGATTCTGCGAATGAAGGGATGATGAATGGTCTTAATGTATTCTATTAGTATTAGGACCTTCTAATGTCCACTTAAATATATATACTCATATACACACACATAGTTATATACAGACACAAATGGCTCATATTTTTCCTAAAGCAGCAAAATATTATAAATCCCACACCTTTCCAGAAGTTATTCTCTTCCTCATCTGCAAAAAATATATATTAACATCTCATACTTGTGATCTTGAAGCAACAACTTCGAATCTCTTATCCCATCCATAGGTTGAATAATGAAAATGAGGTGAAACAAGAGGGGTTAAACAAAGGTCATATTTTCAATACCTCAAAATGGTAAATTAAAAGTAAGGAGATTACTCTGAATATTAACAAATCTTTTACTTATTAGATAAATTCAAATTGTCATTGAATATATTGCTTTACGAATACAACTTTTTTAATTCATTTAAAACAAGAGTACTCCTTCAGCAATAAAAATTTGTTAAAGAATGCAGTCTTTCTTATTTTTCTACTTTTCTACTTTAGTTTTATTCATATATTCTGGCATAAGCTTTTTCTGTATACATACAGCCTAACACATTCAAAAACAACTAGTCCTCAAACTTTTAGTACTCACATTTACATGTTAATCAGTGATTACCCTAAACTCCTTTTCAATGTCAATTAATAGTTTCTTAAATTAGCTGATTAACATTATTTGTTAACATTTTTAGCAACTGTAGAAATATTCCTGCCCACCTAAAGTTCAACTTTGGTTGTAGGACCATATTTGGTTCACAGTGGTTATGAACGTTTAAAAGTATTTTACCATGTTATCCCATTACAATCATATATAAACAAGTAAAAACAATAAAAGCAGCAAAGGTTTGATATTCATAAGAACTATAGGCCTCAACTCCAGAGACTATTAAAACAATGACAAATTAACTTACTCAAGACATTTTTGAGTTACAGTGCTAGGGATACAGAAGAGAACATGGAAGTTACATTGTAACAAATGTTAGTTGAATGTACTTGGTTTGGGAAAGTAAAAATAATTAGGTAAGCCAAAACCAAAAATATTTAGCCTAAGATGCATACTTATTGAACTTAGCTCAATAATTTTAGTGTTAAGAAGGAAAACGTAATCAAACAACACAATATAAATATGCTATTGAAGACTATACCTAGAAGGTGAAGTGTAAATAATGACTTTAAATTACTTTTAGTTCTTTGGATACAATGTACTTCCTAAATAAAATGTGAAATCCAGTGTCTACTTTTTACATATGCAATTAAAATGTTTTTTAAGCAAACATCATAATATGTGAAATTAGGGAAACACATATATAATTTTAGAAAAATTAAGTCAAATTCCATTGATATTTATTCTCTCCTGTCCCTTCTCATCCCTTCTTCTCACCCTTTTATTTTCTTTGTGTCAGAGATACCAGCAAGCTTGCCACATCAAAAGGCTACATCACCAAAAAAGGCAAAGAATTAGACAAATTCTAAAGAGGATGGTAAGGCTTCAGGAATTTATTTTTAAAAGGTTAAGTATATGGAGCAAACCCAGAGTGGTAAAGAATGATGGGGGAAAAAAACAGACTGCACCTTTCTTTTGGAGAATTATGTACAACAACATATTAACTTCATTAACAGCATTTAAAGCTAACCTTATCTTACAAGTTGTTATTTCCACCAAAAAGGTTAAAATCACTTGTAAATTCTACAGTGTGTATGAACAAGCTGAATCCTATAAGTGACCCAAGGATTGTCAAGGTAAATTAATAAAAAATGATTTTCAATGTCTATGATTCTTGAAAGAAATTGGATAGTCAAAATTATGTGAAGAAAATTAAAACTACATACCATGGCAAATACTTCATATGTTACATTATTGAAATACACACAAAAATAATTATCTAGAAGGGGCATTTTCATTGCAGAAGGCAAAGATTTATTGATAAATAAAACAGAACTATTTTCCCCCAAAAGCAGTACCCATAGAAAGCACTAATAAACACAAAACTTTGTTATCTGCTTGGGGTTGTTGTTATTTTTAAATGAGGGTGGGAAGACAGCACCCATAGGTATCTGGAATGGAAATATCCCAAAATTTTAACTGTGATAGAATTCAGGTCACCTTTTATTTTCTTCTTTATTTCAGTATTTTGCAAAGTCTCAAATATGTATTATATGTTAAAAGTCCAAACAAAGCTATTATATAACAAAGCATTTACTTAAATATAGCTAGGGTTTCCAAGATAAAGCCTTTCTATTAATATTGGTGTATGATAACCTACTCTTTCAGAAACATCATGTATCAAGTAAATGTTCATCCAAAAAAGATAGGAAAAAACATTCTACGAACAGCATCCTAAAACAACCTGTTGTTTTAAACAACTTTTAAATACATGTGTCACTGAAAGAACCTATTACATTCACTGTAATTAAAAAATTATTGGGGGGCTGGGGTTGTGGCTCGGAGGTAGAATGCTCGACTAGCATGCGTGAGGCACTAGGTTCAATACTCAGCACCACATTAAAAAAATAAAATAAAGATATTGTGTCCACCTATAACTAAAAAATAAATATTTTTAAAAAAATTATTAGGGCTGGGGTTGTGGCTCAACAGTAGAGTGCTTGCCTAGCATGTATGAGGTACTGGGTTCGATCCTCAGCACCACATGAAAATAAATAAATAAAATAAAGGTATTGTGTTCAACTACAACTAAAAATATATTTTTTAAAAAAAAAAAAGTATCCAAGAAATATTTTTAAAATTATAAAATTCAAAGAAAACATAACCAGAATATTTCTGAATCATCTTTCAAAATAAGGCAAGTAACTGTCTACATGAATATGTTTTTAGAAATATTTTCCAATGCAAAAAGTAGTTTTCTTTTATATAGCAGTATACTGGCAAGCCCAAGAAAATGTACTGCATTAAAAATTCATCTTCCCAACTGATACCATTGACATTTAGCATAAAATACCTTTGAATGCCTTTAACTCCACATGAGGAAAAACTGTGCTTGTAATAACATAACACTGACAGTCGCTAGTATTAATATAATTATAACACAAAAACATCATAAAAAATGTTTTGAAGAAAATGATCTTACTCAATAACAGAAATAAAATCTCAGAGAGTCAATCAAGCCTTCTAAAGTATCTTTTAAAAGTTCTGTATAATATATCCATAAAGATGCAACTAGAATTGGTGACTTGGCTTTTTTCACTATATCTGATATTTTGCTAAGATTGCAATTCAGAAGCCTACCACATAACTCTCTCTGCACAAAGATCACTAACATTAAGATAATTCTGATTGGACAGACCAATTCTTTTGCCAGAGGACACAGAGATCCACTCCAACAGAGTCCTGCAGAAGAATATCCAGAGTCAAATGTGTCGTGACCCTTCTGTGGGAACTCCTAACCCTTGCATCACAGCTGTCCAAGAGAGCCATCATCACCCTCACTGGGATTCCCTTCTGCCACCATTGGTGCCTGCTGCTTGAAGATTTTTACAGTGAAGTGACAGCAGACAGTAGTAGCCGTGCAGTTACTCCTGCTTGAAAAGTCATCTTCTTGCCTTTAACAGAAAAACCTCTGTAGATGTCATCCAGGGAGTCTGGGGAGGAAAAAAAGGAAAATAAATCAGTGTCATTGCCACACAGTATATACTTAAGCAAAAGAATACCTGTCACATGGCTCCTAGGCTATCTAAGCCAATTGCTTGTACCCACCAGAAGGGACTTAACTACTGAGGACTACAGTTGTCCCTCTATTACAAAACAGGAAATTTCCAGGAACCAGATAACCAGTAATTAAATGGCTTTGGATTAACTATAATTAATTTTTTAGGGAAGACAAGATGATGCTGATAGCTTCTATAAAAAACTTGAGTAAACCACAAAGGTAGGTGGAAGGCAAAATATGTGCCTGATAAATCCCCTTATAAACATAACTGAGGGGTCTGGGATTGTATCTCTGTGAGAGCACTCTTGCCTAGCATGTGTGAGGCACTAGGTTTGATACTCAGCACCACATAAGAAATAAATAAAATAAAGGTACTGCATCCATCTACAACTAAAAACAATATTTAGAAAAAGAAAAAAATAACTGAAAGACAAAAATTCACATTTTCTATAATATTTAAGCAATAAGAAAGTTGTTGCTGAAAATATATAACTCCTTAGAGTGAATGACTTTAACTTCAAACCCAGCTCTACTATCCATTCCCTTAGCCTGGGGATAAACAAAAGGTAACTACACAATTCATTATTCAAAACCACAACCCTTTTGAAAATGTTGGCAATTGACCTAGACAGTAGGCATAAAGTAGGACTGCTCTAAATAAATATGTATGCCATGGATGTTATGAGTATCAAGTATGTGCTTGGCACATGCCTGGCATAAGCACTGCATTTATATTGGGTTAGTCTTCATTTCAAAATGGTATCTCACAATAAGGTTCTATGACCACTGTGTGTGTATATATTTCTCCTTCAAACACTGTATATTACCTACCACCAATGGCCCACAGTATAACACTTTCAAAAACATCATCTAAATATGGAAATCATGTACCAAATAAATGCTCTAGATATATAATAAATACTCTTTAATATGCAAAATGATCAGTCTAAGAATTCCCCATTTTTTTCCCACTGATTACCCACTGTCAGAGCTCTTAAAAAAAACAAGCAAACACTTCTCCAACTCAGAAACAAGTAGATACTATAATCCCAAAAGAGAGTTTCATACCATCACAGTTATGGAAAATGCAGCAAGGTCCCTTTCAATTTCCTCCTATAGCAGCATTTCTATTTCTCCAAGAAGTAGGTTGTCCAGTTCTTCAAAGTTCATTTTCTTGAGATTGGGCTCCAGTGATCCAGAAACCACACAGGTGTATTAAATGACAGCTGCCAACATGAAATGCCAGGACTCTACCATCTGCTTCCCCACCTCTGTAGTGGAGTTTATAAGGATCAGAACAGCCCCCCTCACTCACAAAACACACATGTATTCTTTCACACATTTTGAAGCATGCCTACTATGTACCAGGCACACCAGCAACACACTTGTACTCATTTCACTTTCCTATCTATCACATCTTTTTGAGCAAGAAATGGAAATATATATAGATACCTAAGTGTCAGGATGAAATAGTATAAGGCCTATCTGAAAAACAAAACACAAAACTTGAACTTCTTATACAAAGCATAGGTTGTGGAAGAAAATTTATATATTTATGATCTAAATTATGTGTCTGTACATGTTCGTTTTAGTATAAAACAAACTGATGATCACCAGGGCATAAGAATTAACATATCCATCGTGCTTCTTATCAAAATTACATAGATCTATATTTCTATACATTCTAATTTTGTGACCAGAAATAAACTCTCAAACTGTTATTACAATAGTTTGTACATATTTCATGGTAAATGGAGACTAGAAATAACTGTTGCTTTTAGCATTTTCTGACAATTGATATTTTCAAAATTGCCCATCCAATCCCATTTAAAATGCCTTTGAAATTACTGCAAGTAATAAACTCCTAATAATACTTCTTTTAATTTGGGGGCAATTCAAGAGATGCAGCAAAGAATATTTCCCCATGTATTTTACAACCATTTGATTCTGAGCTATTTCTCCAACCTAAGAATATACAATATTGTTATGAACTTACTGGCATCTTCAAAAGACTATAAGTTGATACCCCTGCTGTATGTGAGCATTTATATTTTTAATTAGGTTAGTTTTCCAGAGCAAAATACAGCCTCCAAGTGATAACAAATAATCACTAGTGAAAACCACAGAGATCTATGAAACAATATTAGTACAATATCTAAGTGAAAGTAATTATGCAACTATGAGAGACACAGGTATTGTTATAAGCACTTTTTTAAATCACACAGACCAATTTACTTGAGCAAAATGAAAGGTGAAAAAATATTCATCCTTTCTGAGCATAAGCAATTGCTACTGTGGTAGGGTGGTAGGACAATTTATCAAGTGGTATTTTTCTTTTATTCCTGCTAAATTGTGAAAGTGTCCTACCTAGAATTATCATTTTATTGTATAGATAAATCAGACTTAGCATTCAGTTCTATGCCATTAACAAGATAAACTTTGTCTTTAGAAGCAATCTCCAAATTTATATAATGTACTTATCAGAGAAATTAAGAATTCAAAAATACTACCCTAATTCAGCTCTATAGCAAATTGCTATACTATATTATACTTACTGCCTCTTTAATTTCACAGGAAAAAACATGTATCTGAAATTCTTCTGAACCATGAGAACTCTCTGTAAATGCAAAGCAATTGCTCTCTGTTGTCCCATCGTGTCCACGGGCACAGAATAACACTTTATAGATCGGGAAAGATGCTATCTCCACATTGCTGGATTGGTCTATGATTCTGCAGAAGAGTGATGAAAAATGAGATAAAATATGTTACTAGCAAGGAACAAAGACAGCTTTACCATATCAATATACAACATATAAACATAACTATCTTAAAATCACAAGAATAAATTGGTAATAATAATGCTAGAAAACAGAGTATCTATATATTCCTGGAAACCTTACACATACACATAAATTCTTCATCTTCTTTTGACAATTTCTTTGTTCTTATTTTCCTAAGATCTAACTCGTTTACTCCAAAGCAAAGCAGGCATGGCTACATAAAATACTATCACTGGTTATCACTGGTTAAAACATATACTAGAACAAAAGCACAGATCATCTTGGAAAATCCATTTCTTTTCAGAGCACTACCTTTAAGTTCATCTAAGCCTCAAGTTACTGTTCAACTGAAAACTCTTTGCCCAGAAAAATGTCAGGAAATTTCAAACATAGACTCAACAACAGAACACAAAATTTAAAAGTAGTTTGAGGGATTTAGAAATAATTCTCTGATGTTCCCTACATACATCTTATGCCTTGGATTGATCTAAACAGTCAAGACCATTTCAAAATCTCAAACAAAGAAACTAAGAGATAGGCTGAAGTAATACAGAGGCAACTGTCAGTAATCGTTTAGAGGTAAGTCTTTGTCAAGGAATGTTTGGAAAACTGAAACTAAATAATAACACTAAAATACAATTTGGCATTTTTAGGAGATACTGTGAAATTAATTTTTAAAAAACTTTATAAAAATAATTTATAAGACACTTCTGAAAAACTCAAAAGCATTTTAATCAATACTATGTAAAATTTTATAGCTATTACTTCAATACAAAGAACTTAGTCATCACTCTACTTCTTTGAATGACTGTTAAAGGCTAAAGTCAGATCTTCCTGCTCCCGCAAAATAGAAAAATATAAATCTCAAGTATTTTACATGTCCTAAGGAAAATTTTGCAAATATCCCTTACCAACAGGAACACAGTGTAAGCCTAAATAACGTGTACTTTGCATGTCTATGGAGAATTAAGTGAATTCACAGTAAGTCCTACATTGAATTTATGATATAATACCCTCACAACACTCAAAAGACTTAGAACATGTCTAAAAAAAAAGAAAATTAAAGCTTACCTCACAGAACCTTCTGGAACATTTGGCACATACAGAGTAACAGGAAAGGGGTACTGACTGGACAATCTCATGGTTGCCATTGCCCGTAAAGCCTCCACTTCATTACGTGGGGAAGAAACCTTCATACATCCTAAGTAGGTCAGTTTATTAAATAAAACACTATCTTCTTCAGATAGTCCAGTTGGAGAAGATGGTCTGGGTGTCGAAATTTCTGAAGGGTAAAAAAACAGAAACACTCCAAAGTCAATACAAAACAAGTATAATTTTGCCAAATGCTCAAAGAGAAATGAAATATATCAAACAAAATTTAGATAAATACTAACTGAAAGAAAGCTGCAATGAATATATCAGTAGAAAATAAATGGGCTTCATAACAAAGAAAATACACAGGGATAAAGAAAAATTATTACATAATGATGAGTGAATTCACCTAGAAAATATAAAAATGAGTTATCCACCTAAAACAGAGCTTTAAAATACATGAAGTAAAAATTTATAGAACCAAATGAAGAAATAGACAAATCTATAATTATACTTGGACAATTCAAACTACTACACAATAAAGCATAGAAAAACTAAACATAAAATCAACAAGGTATAGATGATTTAACAAGCATCTTGATCTAACAATTATAGAAAACCCAGAAACTACAGAACACACATTCTTTTCAAGTTTACATAATATATTCACCAAGATATATCAGGATAAACCCCAAATTTACAACTTTTATGAAAATGCAAAAGAAATAGAATAGTCAAAAACACTTTGAAAGAAAATATTGCCTGATTTTAAGGTTTACTATAAAGCTACAATAATCAAGACAGCAGGAATTTTTAAAAAGGACAGACATATCAGGCAATGAAACAAAGCAGAAGGTTCAGAAACAGCCTCACACACATATGGCAATAGATTTTTATTTGTTCTTTTTAGATATACATGACAGTAGAGTGTGGCAACAGATTCCAAACAAAGCACATTCACCAAGCCTGTTGGTCCACACTAATAATCCCAGCTATTCTGGAGGCTGAGAAAAGGATCACAAGTTTGAGGCCAGCCTCAATAACTTGGCAAGACCTTATCATATAAAGCAGCCACTCCACTCCTAGGTATTAATCCCGAGAAATCAAAGTGTATTTGTTCACAAATATTCATAGCACCTTTACTGATTAGCCCAAAACTGGAAACAACCCAGAGACCTTAACATAATAGATTCATAAAATGGATTACAACTCAACAATAAAAAAAAAACTTGATACATGCATCAACATTGATAAATTTCAAAATAATTATGATCACCAAAAAAAAAAAAAACAGATCAAAGTATCTACTATTTAATAAATTCATAACCTGGATTTTAAATAGATCCTAAATCATATACTGGAAATAGGAAATACATTAAACTAAATTTTTATAGTTTAACTACAAGAACATAAGTGTTTTCTCAAAGAAAGTTAAAGCTGAGCTATTGTTATATGCCAATATTTTTAATTTATGCATAGGTTCATTTTATTGGGTTGCAGAAAGGATTGATTTCTCATCCCACATCTGCTATAAAATAGCTGTATAAGCCTAAATAAGGCACTTAACTCCTCTGGTCCCCAGCTAGTGTATCAGCAGCATAAGAGAGTATAAATGCTTTTTAAAGGGCATTATTCCATAGAAATCTAAGAGGTCCACCACGGTGATTTAGTGAAGATGAAGGTCCTACATCCTGCCCCACATCCATTTCAAGCACATATGTTGTAACTACTAGGTGGAGACGAAACATTTTATTTGATCTGATTCCCAGGTTCAAAGTTTCCAATATTGATAATAATAATGATGATAAACATTTTACTAGGCACAATCAAATGTACCATAACTGTAACCTTCATGTAGACAAAATTCACTGATAACTATCAGATTATGACTCATGGAAATCCTGAGTTAAGCAGGCAAAGAGCAAAAATATTTTCAATAAAGCCAACCTTATAGAAATGACAAAAATCACAAACAAATGTAAGGTGCTCAATTTCACCTAAATAAATAAGAATTCAGTACTAATCAAATCATATTCAATTGTCTCATCCATTCTTCAGTAGAATGATGAAAAGAATAACAAAGAAAGTGAGAGAAAAGACCCATCTTTATAATCAAATGGTATTTTAGCACATTTAAACCAGGAATGATTTGCTATTAAAGTTGAACCCAAGTAGCCAGGGTATAAAAACACAAAATGAAAAAAACCAAGGTATCAAAATGCTTAAACAAAAGTTCTCATCAAAATAGTTTTATAACTAACAAAAAAACACACATTTAATGTTTAGTTTAGACCACTTCAGTCTCATTTCCAGGCAGTTTCTTGACACTGAAGCTATCATTTCAAACTAACCATAATGCTACTGGCAAAAATGGTATTGATTTCAACTATGAAAAGATACCAGAAATGTTCTTTTATTCAATATGTAAACTAAAAATACAGACTCAGAAAATAAATACAGAAAACTTACCTGTAAAGCAAAGGAAATTCTTCTTACCAACAGAGATATTCAGTAGAAGATATATTTTTTAAAATGTATTTGGGATAATGGGGATTGAGAATATAAAAAGATGCACAATAGATAGTCTCATAATATACTCGGAAATAAGAATCATATATCTTAAGTCACTGAAAAGGCTAATTCATTCAAATAGCTCCTTAGTGTTACAATAAAAGGCAAAAGGCACTTCTTCCTTTCAAGGACTATATTAAAAAATAACTATATGAATACAGATTACCAGTATGCTTTGGGATTTTTAAGAAATTCAATGACAAAACAAAGTGCAACAAATAATACAATTTCCCATGTACCCTTAATCAAGAAAAAAGAATAATTTGTAAAGTTTGTTCCTAATGTCATATTTTTAATAAAGTCATTTTATGTGTGTATGTTTATATCTATATACACATATAAATACATATGCTGTTAAGTCCTCCTAAACTTAAATCTAGTCACAAGTATGTCTACACACTAAAATCTGTTAAGTCTTTCTTGCAAATCACTAAAACATATGCTGTTTAACAAATATTTATGGTATCTTTCTCATTAAGAAGTTTAATTTTTTCTTTATTAAAATGCAACTATCTGGGCTGGGGTTGTGGCTCAGTGGTAGAGCACTTGTCTAGCATGTGCAAGGCACTGGTTCGATTCTCAGCACCACATATAGATAGGTAAGTAAAATAAACGTCCATGAACAACTAATAAAAACATTATTAAAAATAAAAATGCAACTATCTTTTCCTTTTCTGGTTTGACTTTTCCTACCTGATCCACACACAAAAAAAAAACTTCTCCAATATTCTTTTTATTATTGATTTTTTTAAATAAATGATAGCAGAATGTTTTACAATTCATATCACACATATACAGCACAATTTTTCATACCTCTGGTTGTATATAAAGCATGCTCACACCAATTCGTGTCTTCATACATGTACTTTGGGTAATGATGTCCATCACATTCCACCATCATTGCTAACTCCCTGCCCCCTCCCTTCCCCTCCCACCCCTCTGCCCTATCTAGAGTTCATCTATTCCTCCCACACTCCCCCTCCTTACCCCACTATGAGTCAGTCAACTTATATTCCAATATTTTCTTCTTAGAAATTTGTCCCCCAACCCACACCCCATGATTGAACCCAGAAGGAACACACTAGGCACAGCTCTAGTATGATGCTACACCTCCTGGTCCACATTTTTTCCACTTTTAAATTTTTGATTCACTAGGAATAATTCTAGTATATAAACTAAAAACCTAATTTTATTTTAAGAGAAACAACTACTCCAACACCATTTATTGACTATCCATCATTTCCCCTACCAAATTGTGAGAATAATTCTGCCAATCTTTTTTTTTCTAATCATCAGATGTCATTTCTTTTTCCAGTCATCTTTCATGGGGTGAAGTCTCCAGCACAGGAATACTGAGAACAGGACAGCTAACAGTATCAAAGAGCTAATGCACTTTGTTCAGATACATCTTAATGAGAATACATCTAATCTGAGGGATAAAATATATAACAAGATTTTGATAGATATCATTTATCAAGTAAAGTAAATTTCCTTCTATTCTCAGTTTGACAAAAACTTTATATATCTAATATACATAAAAGATCTTGATTTTTGTCTGCTACTTTTTCTATGTCTACTGATTTGATATTTCTCTTCTCAATATTTATGTGTAAATCACACTGACAGATTTTAGTGCTGAATCATCCTTGCCATAATAGGCTTTGTGATCACATATATACATCTCCCATCATACCCCACTGATTAGCAGTTTGGCCTATACTATATTTACCTTATACCAAGATTCAAAAAAGGGATCACTAGTACCTTAAGCCAATTGGATAATCCCATCCCCTCTGTCAAAGTGACTTATTGAGGAGTCTAAAAGTAAGGCCTACACCTGTATTCCCCGATCACTAGAAAATGGTCAGTTGGTAAAACCAGAATGAGGTTCAGAACTTAGTCATTAGTAAAAGAATGAAATTTTTCTCTCTGCCACCTGGCATGAACAGATCACCTAACCCTACCTACCAATTTCTGCTAGTGGCCAAGGAGGGAAGTCAACTAAGGAGAAGGACAACATGAAGAAAACAGAACTGACTAGTTTACAAAAAAAAAAAAATACCCCCAGACTCAGATCAAACCACATCTCTAGTGTTTAAGCCAGCTGAAGTTGGAGTCAGTTTAAGTTTTGTTTGTTTTTTCCCACCCAAAAGCATATTAAACTCAAAGCTGGTATTTATAGTACAAATCCTACTCACACATAGATGTATTTATTATTAAATACACCAATAAAATTGATGTGCTATTTTACTTAGAATTTTTACCATAATTAGCTTAAAATAAGAGTAGCCAAACTGAAGAAAATGGAATTCTCTAATACTCAAGAGTTCGATATTTGTTCAATATTTGCCCAATATTTGTTCATTAAGTACTAAAGATCAACCATGTGCCAAATATTGGAGAGAAAATTAGGACCCAAACATACTCTTTATTGTGAAAGACTATTGAGACCAGATTTCAAGGCAAATATATGAACAAAAACCAAGGTGAAAATTCTCAACCAGAACAAAAAGCCCAGTGGTCCTGATCTTGTAAAACAAAACTGTTTGCTAATTTTCATTATCATTCTATTCTCTTTCCATTATGATTGGTTTCAAAGAGTTTGATTACAGTACCTGTGTTAGATGGATCCAAAATTAACTGAAGAGATGGTGTATTTGTTTGGCTGGCTGGAATATCTCCAAATGAATGGTCTGAAATCTCACTGGAACTTTGACAGTCAAGACTGCTTTGCCCCTTCTCAGAATCTCTCAAAATTTCTTCCATGGCTTTTTCCAGTTGTTCATCACCATTAGAAACTATCTATTAATTTAGCAAGATAATTGTTTCAATCTCATTATAGTTCTGAAGATTAATGTTATGAAAATCTTTAATTTCTAGATGAAATAAAAACAATCTAAATATTTAAAGATATAGTTACTGAATAGTAAGAGTTAAGTCAGTTACACTTCATTGCACATAGATACATTAAAATTCTGAATAATAAAATCAAGTAAATAAGAGGCAGATTATTAATTTCACAATTTCCAACTACATTTGACATAACATCTTATTTATAAAGGTTGCTTTTTCTTTCTTTTTAAGGAATACAACCTAAAAATCACATAATCTTAAACTTATGTGTTTTAAAGAAAAAAACAGATAAGTGTAAAAAGGACCTGCTATAAATATCATTTAAATGATCATCTCTCTTACGGTGGTATAATCATATTTTCAATTTCTTTATAAATTGTTTGCTAGCTGCCAAAAGGAACTGCTAATTTCCTTAAATTTAAGTTGACTTATCTTTTTTTTAAAAGCAGGTGAGGCACAAAGCCCAAATAAATAAGTATCTTAAACACACAATGCTAAAAATACAGAAACCTAAAAGTAAAACCATGATCATTTGAATAACCTAATAAAACAACATGTTCTTTAGGGCTGCAGTTATAGCTCAGTGGCAGAGCACTTGCCCAGCATGTGTGAAGCACTGGGTTCAATCCTCACCACTACATAAAAATAAATAAGATAAATATATAAAAAGTATAAAACATTATTTTTTTAAAAAACTATATTTTCTTTACATAATATAAATGAATATTTAATAATCTCATTTTTACAAGTTATTTTATTGAGCTGATATGTTAATATATTTTTGATGTCATACTTACTACTAAGTAAAAATCATAAATAATAAATAGCACTTTTGGCTATTTTCTATTCCTGTTTCTAAAGGACGATTACACAATTTTCATGTACATACACCTGGGTTTATCACTTCCTTTTCTCTGACTTAAAAAAGTCAATCCGAAAATGACAAAAAGGACTATAGAAAAAGTTAACTGCTAAAAATGTAAAACACACTTTTAGAATGAATATTCACAAGTCACCAATTAAATCACCTACCAGAATGTTACCAGCTCCTTTAAAACATGAAAAACAGGGGGAAAAAGCCTCTAAAGAAAAACATGACTTTCATGTAACTAATTTCTAAAACCCATATGAGAAACAAAAACAACCAGATAAATTAATGTAAGATTTAATCTTAAGTTTAACTTGCCAATCACCCTTCTCTTTTATTTTTCCTTCTATTTCCTCCTCCTAAAATTCCAAATGAAAGGATAAAAATAATCTGGACCAAAATACTTTTAAAATCCCCAAACCAAATAATTAGTCTCTGAATAAATCAAACCAAATAATTAGTCTCTGGATAAATCAAACCTTGACTTTTATTCTCAAGGTCTTTTATTCTCAAGGTCTATACTTGCGAAAAACCCTAGATCTTTATAATCTCCTGAGAGCTTCAAAAAATGATAATTTTAAATAGTGCCATATTAGAAAAGAAAAAAATACCTTCAGTTGAGGTTTCTCATCATCTTTTGTAGAAGTATCATCTGTGTGCTGAGGAACCAAAACAAATTCTTCACTGTTCAGTGTAGCCACAGAATCAGATGACCCACTAACCTTCTGTAGTGAAGCTCTGACCTCCATTTCAATTCTGAGAACTTCTCTTTCCCACATTCACCTGGCCAAACTACAGGGATCAAAAAACAAACAACAACAAAACCCAATGATTAAAAACTTGAGCTAAATAAAAACATTAACTAATAAAGCTTTAAAAAATGGCACATGTGAAGAAAAATCCTACTAATTATCTCAAGATTAGGAATATTACTACCTTCTTAGACTGGACCTCATAATGGAAATGTACTCTCTTCTCTGAGTTTCCAGATAAAAGAACCACCACATTGTTCCCTGTAAAACATATAAACTACCCACATCTCAACTAAAAATATTTACCTCTATTTATTTAACTCTTATTTCTCTGAGACTTTTTTAAAAATATTTTTTCTAAATATGTTTTTTAGTTGTAGATGGATACAATACCTTTATTTTTTATGTTGTGCTGAGGATAGAACCCAGTGCCTTCCACATGTGAGGCGAGCACTCTACCACTGAGCTACAGCCCCAGCCCTAGACTGTTTTTTTAATAGAGCAAATAATTAAACATGATACTAGAAACACCTACAAATTCATTCTCTCTCTCTCTCTCTCACACACACACACACAATTCAGCTGGGAACAATGAATGGTATATGCCTGCAGTCCCAGATACTTGGGAGGCTGAGGTATAGGATCACTTGAGCTCAGGAATCTGAGACCAACTTGGACAACACAGCAAGACCCAAAAATAGAAAATCATTTTGATTACTTTATAAACTCCAAATGCTTTTTAAAATGCTATGTCCTCAAGACCAAATACTGTACTTTTAAATATTTTATTCTGTATCACTGAGGTTAACTAATATAGAATTCAATACCTTAAGTCATGTATCTCTTCTTTTCCAAACACATAGACCCTTACCAGTACTTAACAGTAAACACATAAAAAAGGAAGGCTTTCATATTACACTTATGTAGCAAACAATGTTTCAGTAATCAAATACAGAGTAACCCTGTTTTCTTGATAAATCCCTACTTTATCCCTATAGAAACAACACTCTTTGATTTCCAGAAGTTCAAATACTCACACAACTAATTCTGAATGAAGATATATACTATGTAGCAGAGATTGCTCAGCCCTGGAGTGATATGAGCCAACAAGGAGGGGTAGCCTGCTATACTAAAGCTTAACTAGTGAGGAAAAAAAAGCCAGTGAGCAAAAAGAGGCAATTGGGGGGGGGGGGGGGGCGGGGGGGGAGAGATGACTGAGAAACTGTAGGGAGTGTAGGGATAACTTTTTAAAGAAAGATAGTAGAAACAATTCTCTGAGCAAACTGTATGAGCAAAAACCTGGAAAACAAAAAATAACTAAATATTAAACAATATGTACAGTAACCAAATGGATAATGTGACAAGCAGGCTACGCTGAAAAACTACCGGACCCTGTAAATCATGAGAAGTCCATGCATAAAACCCCCTCAGAAATATTCTCTTTTTCTCTTTCCAGTTTTGGGTTCTTTTCATTGCCACATATAAAGGTGGCTGCAATATTCTATTTTGCCATTAGATGACACTATTACTCTTGGCAAAATAATAATTTCCTTCCCATTTCAAATTACACTTTTAAAACTTACTCTCCAACTTTATCAAAAATCAAAGTTACTGGGCTAGGGTTGTAGCTCAGTGGTTGAACATTTGCCTCGCATGCATGGGGCACTGGGTTCGATCCTCAGCACTACATAAAAAAACAAACAAATAAGTAAATAAAACAAAGACATTGTGTCCATCAAAAACTAAAAAAAAAAAGTTTAAAAAAATCAAAGTTACCAAGAATATCAAAGTAAAGAATAAAGACACTCGAGGCTAGTATAATTATCTAGCCATCATTTATCTCTATTAATGCATATAAATATCCTTCCTTTTTAAAACCCTTCAAGTGCATTCATCTGTCTTCTAAGGGTTTGCCCACTTTGCATGTTATATGTTTACAAAATTGCAACATGTAGGGTTGAGGATGTGACTCAAGTGGTAGCGCGCTGGCCTGGCATGCGTGAGGCACGGGTTCAATCCTCAGCACCACATAAATATAAATAAATAAAGGTATTGTGTCCATCTACAACCAAAAAAAGTATTAAAAAAAAAGCTGTCAAGGGTAGTACAGTTTTCATATAGTAGGTTTGAGAAAAGAAACCTAGGTGAAGAAAGTATAAAGAATCTGAAGCTGATAATCATTTCCCAAACAGTACAGACCCATAAAATAAAAGAAAGGGGAGAAAGTAGAGAAAAAACTTTTTTGAAACAACTCTAGGGGAAAAGTGGGTAATACAAGTAGTGATTACAGTGAAAGGATGATCTTAAAAGCAATAAAAGAATGTCTTATAAAAACATGAAGCTATAATAGGACAAAAAAAGTAATTTAAAATGATGAGCATGTTATGATTATTGCTACATAATATGACCATGTCATTAAAATATAACATAATAGAAGAAATTTTTCATTTAAAAAATCTGTGTTGGAGCCAGGCACATGGCACATGCCTATAATCCCAGTGGCTTGGGAGGCTGAGGCAGGAGGATCGAGAGTTCAAAGTTCACCTTAGCAACAGTGAGGCACTAAGCAATCAGTGAGACCCTGTATCTAAACAAAATACCAAATAGGGCTGGGGATGTGGCTCAGTGGTCGAGTGCTCCTGAGTTCAATCCCCAGTACCAAGAAAAAAAATCTGTTGGAATGGTGAGACTTACAGATGATTGTAGCATAATACATTATTGCTATCAGTTGTGGTGTTTTTTTTTTTTACTCTGTTACAAAATTATACATCTATGCCTCTTATCACATGATGTTGTAACACCTCTCACTAGAATTAAGTAGAACACGTTTCCCTTCCCTAATAATTTTGTGCTTAGCCATGAAATTTACTTTTGTCAATGAAACATCAGTAGACAAAACTTGAACAGAGACTTTAAATGTGTTTTCATGTTGGAAGCGCAAATGAACTGTGCCCACAGTTCTATCTGAGCCATCTCTAAGTGGAGGGGAGCCCCTTGGAGAACTCTCAGTGTAATCTCACCCATGTGAGACCGCTTTGTTGCCTTGGCAAAGGTCCTCTTCAAAGAGAATTCTGTGACACCGCAGAATTTATTGCCTCTAACAGCCCTACCTTCAAAAGCAACTCCCCAGAGGTTGAAAGAAACACCAGTGTGCCCAACTAGCCTGGGGCACCAGCTCCCTGGAAAAGGAACAATTACTGTGCAAGTGATAAGTCCTCAATTAGGCCAACTACCCAACACTGCCTGGCTTCTTGTTTACCTTGAGGAACCCTTCCTCACAATAAATTCCTTTGGTGTATTTCACTATAAATAAAGCATTGCAGGCTTTTTCCCTTTGTTAGGTTCAGTCTTTTCCACCCACAAAGCCTTCACTTTAAAAAATATTTATCGGGGCTGGGGATGTGGCTCAAGCGGTAGCGCGCTCGCCTGGCATGCGTGCGGCCCGGGTTCGATCCTCAGCACCACATACAAACAAAGATGTTGTGTCCGCTGAAAACTAAAAAATAAGTATTAAAAAAATTCTCTCTCTCTCTCTCTCTCTCTAAATATATATATATATATATATATTTTTTTTTTATCGTGTCTTTTATTTCTTTTTTTAAATTATTTGTTCTAATCAGTTATACATGATAGCAGAATATTCTTTCATTCACTGTACACAAATGGAGCACAAATTTTCACTTCTGTGTTTGTACACGAAGTAGGGTAATACCGTTCACTCATACACACCTAGGGTAATGATGTCCAGTCACATCCCACCATCTTTCCTACCCCCCATTCCCCTTCTCCCTCCCTCTTTGCATAATCCAAAGTTCCTCCACTGCTCCCATGCCCCGCCTCCATTATGGATCAGCACCCATTAATGAGAGGAAAACATTCTTTGGCCTTTGGTTTTTTGGAATTGGCTTACTTCACTTAGCATGATGATCTCCAACTCCATCCATTTACCTGCAATGCCATGATTTTATTCTCTTTTAATGCTGAGAAATATTCCATCTTGTATACATACCAGAGTTTCTTTATCCTTTCATCTATAGAAGGGCATCTAGGTTGGTTCCACAGTTTAGCTATTGTGAATTGAGCTGCTTTAAACATTGATGTGGCTGTGTCACTGTAGTGTGCTGTTTTTAAGTCGTCTGGGTATAGACTGAGGAGTGGGATAGCTGGGTCAAATGGCTGTTCCATTCCAAGTTTTTTAAGGAATCTCCACACTACTTTCCAGAGTGATTGCACCAACTTGTAGTCCCACCAGCAATGTTTGAGTGTGCCTTTTCCCCCACGTTCTTGTCAGCACTTGTTGTTGCTTGTTTTCTTGATAACTGCCATTCTGACTAGAGTGAGGTGAAATCTTTTTTTTAATATTTATTTTTTAGTTGTAGATGGACACAATATCTTTATTTCATTTTTATGTGGTGCTGAGGATCAAACCCAGTGCCTCACGTATGCTAGGCAAGGACTCTACCACTGAGACACAACCCAGCCCCTAAAACTACTTAAGAGTAGTTTTGATTTGCATTTCTTTAAAATCAAGAAACGATAAATGGGATAGATTCAAACTGAAAGGCTTCTTCTCAGCAAAAGATACAATCAATGAGGGGAAGAGAACCTACAGAATGGGACCAAATTTTTACCACACACACTTCAGATAGAGCACTAATCTCCAAAATGTATAAAGAACTCAAAACACACCAGAAAAACAAATAGCCCAATCAATAAATGGGCTAAGGAACTGAACAGACACTTCTCAGAAGATATACAATAGATCAACAGAAATATAAAAAAATTGTTCTATTTCTTAATACTACTTTTTCAGACTTTTACTTCCAGTTGGCCCACACCTCCAAAGGTCACTTCCACTGGTGAGATTTTAGTAATTTGGCTTGGTCTTAAGCCAAAATTTAATATACAATGGACCCAAAATGTAACAAGCAAACAGACCTAAACCAATAGACCCAAAAGTAACAAGCAAAAAACAAAAAAAAAAAAAAAAAAAAAAATGAATTTAGTCCATAGCTTGAAACAAACTCCTTCTTATTGATA